GCATGATAAAACGCACAATTTCACAAAATAAATATTGTATGGTAATTAAAAATACTGTTTTATTAATATTTGAAATAAAAAATCGCCAGTGAAGTGACGAAAAGTGGGTCCAGACAGGACAATAATTCACTAGCCTGTCAATCTGCAGGGTCAATTATTGTCCTATCTGGACCCACTTTTCGTAACTTCACTGGCAATTTATTGAGGCAATCAATCTGCAGGGTACCTATTAGGCCTAATGTAGTTTATGTGAATTAAGTGGAGATGGAAGCGGCCGGCTCTATTATATAATTCAAACATACACTCTCTCAGTTCTAAAATATGAATACATCTAACAATTGAAATTTGTACTAACAATCTCTTGTTTAATGAAAGACATCAAAATCTTTTATCCTTAACCTTATCTCAGCTAAACAGTTAAACAAATTACAAATGCTTATATTTTAGAACTATCCAAACTATTTGCTATAAACAATGGAGGGAGGACACTACTATAGAAAAGATTTTTCGGGACGAAGACCCTGTAGGTTGCAGGCGCGAACTGTAACCTTAACATGCAAATGAATTTTCACATGTGGGCCTCTTAAAAAGCCTGCATCTGAAAATAAACCTATTTTCATATACGGGCCTCTTTAGTGACCCACGTGAGAAAATACTCCGCTCCGCCGGATCCGCCGCTCGCTGTCGCCGCCGCAGCTGCAGCCGCTCCCTAGGGCAGCGCTGCCGGATCCACCGCCCACCGACGCCATCACCACCCCTACTCCAGGCCGCCTGTGCCCGCTCTGAGAGGGAGAGGAGAGAAGAGAGAGAGAGAGGGGAGAGGAGAGAAAGGGAGAGAAAAAGAGAGAGAGAGGAAAGTAAATAATAGTAGGAGAGGTGAGGGGAGAGAGAGAGGAGATGGGTTGAAAAAAATTGAAGTGGTGGGAGGGAAAAAAGAGTGGAGGGAGATGAAAAAAATATGTGAAGGGGTGGTATTTTTGCATGGAACCACTTAAGAAGTCCGCATGCAAAAATCTATTTTTGCATACGGACCTCTTAAGGGGCCACATGCGAAAATATGAGAATTTCAAATCGAATTTTGTGATACTAAATAAACTCATGTGAAAACGTTGTCAAAAACAAAGTTGTGGAACTTGTTGAGATCTACCAATTTTATTTTCGTCATTTCTCTATCTGAGTTTGATTTAACTACATAAAATTTAAATTTTAAAATATAAGAAATTCAAATAATTTTATGGTAGTAAATGATTTCAACTGGAAAAATTGTCAACAACAAATTTGTGAAACGCATAAAGATCTACAACTTTTGTTCTAATCATTTTTCTACATGATTTTGTTTGAACAGTTTGAATTTAAACATCAAAATATGACAACTTCAAACAAAATTTTCAAAAACTAAATGATTTCAACTGAAAAAGTTGTATAACTCACTAAGATCTATAACTTTTACTTTTATCATTTCTTCATCAACAAAAAGATAAGTAATGTTGTTCACGAATTTCACATATCTCTCATATGGTTTTATAAACTGTAAGAGAGATATGTAAATTGTGTGAACAATGTTACTATCACTTTATCGGATGAAAAAATGACTAAAAGAAAAGTTGTATATCTTGATGAGTTCTACAACTTTTTTTTAAAAAATTGAGTTCTACAACTTTTATGTTCATGACTTTTTCAGCTGAAAATATTTACTGCATCAAAATATTATTTGAAGTTGCCATTTTTTGAAATTCAAATTTTTAATTGATAAAACAAAGTCACATGAAAAGTTGGCCAAACTAATAGCAGTAGGAACACAATAACATAATAGAGCATGATTTTAGAAACATTTAGGAAAGAATCAACACATTTGAAGTTAGTATGAGGGAAAAACACTAGTTACAAGTTTTAGTCAAAGATTAAAAAGAGAAACCTTTGTTGTGGAAAAATCGATTTTCGCATACGGCTCCTTAAGATGCCCGTATGTAAATTTTTCCATACAGGCGTCTTAAGGAGCCATATGCGAAAATGCCGCTCGATTTTTCCAGATGCTGTAAGTTATGGTCCGTTTGCAACCTACCAAGGGTCTCGTACACAAAAATCGTTTATGTAGTATTGGGGTGGCGAGCGGCGGCAGCGACCTCCCCTCTCTTCCCCACCTCCCCTTCCCCTCTCCGTCGACGGCGTCGGCAGCGGGTGGGAGGCGGCTGCCGCCGACGGGTGAGAGGCGGCCGGGTCACCGTCGGAGTCGGCGTACTCGTCCTCGGCTCAAGGGAGGAACGCCGGGCCCAGTCCGCGCGACGGCGGAGACGAACAGCGCCGCGGCGTGTGCGCGGCGGCCAGGAGCTCTTGTATGTTTCTTTGTTCTTCTCTTCTGAATGCGTGTAGTGTTCATGTACATAATTAATCTTCTCTTTGAAGATGTGTAGCTGTGAACTAGTCCTTTTTTGCGAGTGAGAACATGAGTTGTGCACATCCATAAGTTGTGGATGGTTTTGCTGTTGAATCTTGAAGAGTAAATGTATGTCTAACATAAAAGCTTTTGGCTGGCTTTCATTAAAGGATCCACTGAATAAAAGATACATGCTAGATCATAAAAAATATGCACCTCCTGATTGTGACCGCGGGTGTGTTTTATGTGGACATGGAATTGTGGAGACCATGTTGCATCTAAATTTTGAGTGCCCCTTTTCAAGATTTGCTGGGCCGTTGTTAGGATTTTCTGGAAAACATCAGACAATTTGGAGAATATAATGTTTGGTGTCTATCTTCGCTACCGAGAAAGATGCTTTATCGAGAAAATTTTAATGGTGACTTGAAAAGTTTGGAAAGTGAGAAATGGTTTTATTTTTGAAAGCAAGCCAGTTTCCATGTCGTCTTGGAGGTGTCTCTTAAAAGGAGATCTTCTACTCCTTTTCAAGCTAGCAGAGAGAGAGAGAGAGATAAAGATGTAGCCATGTATTGGATCAGTGTTTTTTAATATTTCTATTGTAATTACATTTTTCTTTATATATTAAATAAAGCATGCAATAACAACGGGGACCTCCTTTGCCGTGTCTTCTTTAATAGAAAATCACGATATTCTCCTATATTTAATTCCAACTATTTCCTTAATGTCTGTACCTAACTCTACAAATTGTTATTACTTATTTTAGGAGACAGACCCATTAATTAAGTGAGGAGAAAGGTCAGAGGATCAAGCTGCATCAGTGGAAGCTGTACGATAAGGCAACTATTAGTGTCCATCCAATTCATCGTTTACCCTGTACATGGAATGAGAGAGAGAGAGAGCAAGGAGACAAGAGAGCGTCCCCTCAAATGCCCATCGACTTCGGCAGCAAGCTCGATCGTCGATCGGTACAATATTACCAGGTGACAAAAGACACGAGCCCGACAGCGACGCCCGCTTGCTTGTCGATCGACCGTGCCACATCTGTCTATCTATAGCTTGCCGATCGATCGACACCGGCCGGCATCCGAGGACTAATGAGAGTCGCGGAAGAAATTTGAGGCACCGAGAGGAAGAGGAAGAGGAAGAGGACGACGTTGACGCGGATGATATTTGAGGCCGCCGCACGCTAGCTTATCCATCCTGTGTGGTGGCGTGTCGTTCGATCCGACGATGTTACCCCGTGCGCAAGTCAGGCCGGGTCACTCTCAAGGTTTCAATTTTGGTCCCCACCGAAATTTCGGTGGTTACCGAAATTTGGAAATGTCGTGATTTCTGGATTTTTCAGACCGAAGTGATTTGAATTTGTAACGTATTTTGACTGAATTTGAACAGATTTAGAAATATTTGATAAAAAAATGGAACTTTTGGGGAGATTTGTGTTTGCCGATGGGGTCGAAATTACTGAAATTTCAAACCTTGGTCGGTCGTACGGTATGTTTGGGTAGTTTAAAGTTTTAAGAAACAGCCGGTTGGTAGTCAGCTTCTGAGAAACTAAGTTTCTCAACTTAATTATATTTTCTAATTAATTTTCTGAATTCTATAATTATAGCTTCTCAAAATCTGAATGAAAAGTTAATTAAACTGTTTGGAAAAAACTCCTGAAACAGACTCCTAGCCAGGATCTCGGCCTCTAGCATGTGCCGACCGTGACTCTTGAGTGAGAGAGATGGCCAGTGAAAGTTGGTGAAAGCATCGTCCAGACGGTACAAAAATTCACGTGGCAATTTCGTTGAGCCAATCAATCTGCTTGGTCCAGTGGTACCTGTTAGCTAGGCCTATTGTAGTTCATGTGAGTAGAGTGGAGATGGAACGTTTTATATTATAAAACTTTATAGCATTGTTCACGTAATTCTACTAACAGAGGAAGTACTATAGTACCACTATTTTGAATATAATATGCTTGCTTGGTCGGTTATACAATATAAATGGTTCTAACAATTGAAATTTGTACCGAAATCTAAGTAATTTAAGTGCTATTCGTATTACTTTATACCCGTGTAATCAATCACCTCTCTTTTTATTTTTTAATATATAGAATTACCAATCTAACCTAATAAAGTCTTATTTAATGAAGGATATCAAAGTTCTTTTTTCTTATCTCTGCTAAACGCCCAAACAATCCACGAATACTTATATTTTGGAACTATCCAAACTATCGGTTATAAACAACGGAGGGAGTAGTAGTATGCATCTCTAATTAATAAATATGCAATAATAACATACCCAAGCTTAGGGTGGATAAATATCTAGATATTTTTACACGTGAATATGTCAGAATCCTTATGTTGGAGGATTGTCCTTGTTCTGTTGCGAAAACCCAGCTAAAATAGATCACATCGTTCACTTTTCGCATAGCATTTGACTATTCGTTTTATTATAAATGTAGTATAAATATGTAAAAGTACAGGCTAGGATTTTAGTTTTTTTGGTGATAAAATAAGTCATAATAAAATAAATAATATTTATATAACTTTTTAAATAAAATGAATGGTTAAACATTACGTGAAAGTCAACAACGTCATACTGGGACAGAAGGCGAGTACTATATCTATCTCTTGGAATAGCCTTATAAAAGGAGGAGTTGTTAGGAGCAACAAGCTTGCAACAATGGCGACCATAGCATCCATGCATATGTATGGCTTCTCTCTTCAACCACGCCTGTGCAGCACCGGAGGAAGGCCAGCCAAGATCACCAGGACTAAGCCTTTGGCGACTCATGATTCCTCTGCGCACATCGTACGCACAGTACTAAACCACACCTCCCTCCGTAGTTAGCCTCTCTAGTCTCCTTTCTGTCTCTCTGCATATAACAACTGAACTGATCAATTATTCCAGAGCTAGCTAGCTCTACTGCTATAAGCATGCAACAACGAGATTGAGATTGTATATTTTACTGTTTGGGCCAAAAAAAAATGTATATTTTACTGTTGCATTGCATATGTACAATGAGATGATCATATGATTCCATTTTAATACGTTCATTTGATACATACAGCCACCTCGTTTCAAGGAGCTTCAGCAAGTATTGAAAACCAAACTTAGGGAGGCATCTGCTGCAGGAAGCAGTGCTTCCAAGAAATTGCTGGATGCGTTTGTGGACTCTATCTTCACATTCAGTCATCAATCTTTACGTCCCACCGAGGTAGGGCAGGCAAGCATGATTGCATATACGTTACACAAAATGCAGCAGCAATTTATTGCTTTGAACTTCCTATAATATAAATTTTCTTCCGTCCTGTAAAAATGAATGCTTTTTAGGATTAAAAATTTGTCTGAAAAGAGTATTCTTCTAAGTACTACTACCTCCGTTTCAGGTTATAAGATTTTTTAGCATTGCTCATATTCATATAGATGTTAATAAATCTAGGAACACATATATGTCTAGATTCATTAACATATATATAAATATGGGCAATGCTAGAAAGTCTTATAATATGAAACGGAGGAAGTACATGTTATATTCAAAACTTTGTCCCATCCTACTCCTAATCATGCATCCTCCTATCATACATCATAGTTGTTTCCTTCTCAAGCATTGATTTATGCTAAACAAGTTAGAAGAGCAAGTAGCACTTATTTTGGGGTCTAAGCAATGAATTGGAGAGAAATACATTAATTTCCCTTGGAGAAACAATTTTCCTCTAAAACTAAATTGGAGAATCAGTTCAATTTCCATTGCTAATAACTTACGTATGTGGTGGATCTATATATCCATGCAGAGTAATTTTGCACCAGTTGAAGAAATTGGTCAAATAACAAATATATTGCGGATAGAAGGGGCAATCCCGGAGGACTTTCCAGAGGGTGTATATATTAGAAATGGTAATTCTCTTTCATTACTAACTATTACTAACTAGATTGAAAGTTATATATGGTAGCATTTGGCTCGGGTGCCTGGTGGGAAGGAAAATATCGGGCGCCCTGCGCCCCACATCCCTCCTTTCTCTCTCGGTCTCATCTATTCCCCTCCTTTATCTCTCTCTTCACCATTTCTCTCCTCTCTATCCCCTTTGATCTGTGAGGAGGCAAAGGTGGAGGCAAGGTAGTGACAGGCAGAAACATAAGGCAAGATATCGGCAGGACAAGGCGGTGGCTAATAGGGGTGACGGTGGCAGGCAGCTGCAGTGGCGGCAATGTAGACTTAGCTGAGTCTATGCAACAACGGCGGCAATGGCTATGTCCTGAGTGGCTGTAGGAGTGGGTGGTGGTGGTGGTTTGTAGGGCATCATCAGCCAAATCATCATCTTCGGCAGCTGCACGCCATCATTAGCCACGTCTCCTCCGTGGCTTGGGCAGCATCTACCGTCGATGATCCGGCTAACCTGAAGTGGATTTAGCTGGTCTTTTTTCGGGTGATTGTTTCAATGTTTTCATTCTATGTATATGGTTGTTTCATTAGTCAGATCAAAGTGTTTCACTTGGATTTTTTTATGGTGTTTCAATTTTTGTCTTCGATTTCACTCGGAACTTGTTGATCTTTCAATGGCTTTAAATCATTAGTTTTATTTATTGAACCAAATTGTTTCATCTGGCGATCCGATTGCGTTTCACTTTTTTCAAGAACTAAAACATTCTTTCACTTAGTGCTGAAACACTCTTTCATAAGGGGTAAAATAATGCCTGATTTTTAGGAAAAATCGGGCACCCGATTTGTAGTCATTTCATCACAACAGACACATACGGTCAGATGCAGAACAAAGCATTACTATCTACTAGCTTCTCGAATATATATGACATTTTAAAATGTGTACAGTTAAACCATCAAATCTTAAATCATTAATATATGTAAATATAACTCCCTCTTTCCTAGAATATTATAACCTAGTACCACTAATCTAAAACGACATCCTGTCGTTAGGGGTGGAAACGGATCGGATTCGGACGGATAGTGGTCACACCATTGTTAACAGTGAAATTTGGTAAGCCCCGAAGTCCTGATCGGCCTAGAGTTAGTATTGGCTTCAGAGTTCTGGAATCAGCCGATGAGAGTCATCAAGTCGCTAGTAATCAGATTAAGAAAATTAATCAATTAAAGAAAGCTTATCTAGAAGAGACCGTGTTCAAGGAAGATGTGGCATGGCAGTTTATCTATTAATTAGGAAGAGTTTGTGTTTCCTTTTATCTTTAGGAAAGTGTGTTTAGTGTCCCATAAGGATTTTATGTTTTCTTTTTATCTTTCGAAAAGTTTCTTTCTTGTCCAACAAGGACTAGTATCTACCCATGGGTATAAATATGTACATATGTGGTAATTTTAATTTATCTCATAGATCAATACAGCTACTCTTGGCGTATAGCCACCCTCTTTCCCGAGGTTTTTATTTATCATCCGGCGAAACCTTAGCACTTGACGCGGGGTTGCATCGGCTTTCGATCTTCGGCGAAGGGGGTAAGTCCTACGTTCCGCCAGTCCTGGCAATTGTATCGGCTATAATGGTGTTGTTCAAGGCTGCATCGCTTCGACCTCTTGGATCGCTCTGGTTCGGTTGATATTTTTGCCTACCTATTTATCATATATCTTAGTTAATCTAGTTTTAGTATATCGATTTAGTCATATCAGCTGATTCTCGCTTAAGGGTTTATGCCGGTATCGGCTAAATCGATTTACTAGATTGGATTAGCTAAGGTATCCACCACCCTAAAAATTAGTCAAAAGCTTGATTGTCTAGATATTGTGTTTCTTTTCATACTTAGTGATGCATTAGTACATTCGATCTACTAAGTCGTATTTAGAACCATGATCTCTAGCCTGCTTCTTGATTGCTAATAAGGGTTTCATCGGGGTTTCAGCCAATGAGTTACATGGGCGTTGCATCGGCTTACAAGGATTACATACAAGTTGGTTTTAGCCGATCGCAATAAAGGTTTCATTGTTTATCTAATCGTTTGGATTTAATGACATCGGACTTTCAGCCGATGTAAGCTTTAACCTTCGGATTAGTGTTTATGCTCTCATATCATTATTAGCCGATTGGTTTCTACTGGATTACATTACCATCAGCCGATTGTCTTTATATCGTTATCTACATTGGACATATAGCCGTTTGATCAAAACCCTATTGACATCGGCTAGTATCGGCATCGACTGGAACTACTCCATCAGCTTATCAGCCGATCGGCTATTTGATCTGCTATTGTATATCTTGTGAGTTGCAGGATCAAACTGATTGGCACACCCGCATCTCATCAACCTTTGGACCTGCACTGGAGTTAAGCAAATCTCCCAGGCCACCGTGTTTTCACATCAACAACCATATTCTAAACCATTTTTTAAGCAGATTCGAAGCGGGTGCGGATATGTGCGCATGCAGAGCGGATTGTTTCGGATGTTGGAAATGGTGCGGAGTCGGTGCAGACTCGGTTCGGGAAACAAATTAAATTTATCAGATGTTAGATGTTTATACAATCAATACAACATTGAGTTATCAATGCAAGGGACAGCAATACAATAATCATTAAACGACCTTTCATAAACTTAAGTGTAAGATGAGACGGCAAAAGCCTCAAACAAGGAAGTTTAGGTTAATTGATAAATTAGGTCATTGGATGGGCCGACTCATGTTATATGCCCAGATAGAGTGGTTACATGGGTTGATATTTTCGGATTATCCGGCAAACGACCTATGGGATAATCCGATAGAAATACCAGATAATCCGCATTTATCGGTTTTTAGAGATACCACATCCGAATCAGAATCCGCACCTTACTATCCGCATTCGCATCCATATCCGCCGATTTCTAAAATTCCATACCATCCTCGTTTAGGACGGATTTGGAACGGATCAGATCGGATATAATCCGATCCATTTTCACCCCTACCTTTCATTGTATCACCGTTAGTCTCCCATAAACTATGTGAAAAGTCCATTTCACACTTAGAATAATATATGCAAAAATACACTTTATGTGTGGTGCAATGGAGTATAGTTAAGGGTAGGCTAATAGTGATGGTAAAAGGGGAAGAAAAAACCACTTGTTCGATAGCATCTTGTGGAACTTTTATTTGTCAATATTACTCAGCAAGTCATACAGGAATAGGGGTATGATGCAAGGATTCAACAAGGGATAGCTAAGCAGGTTCATTTGCATAAAGCGAGCATTTATAAACAGAAGCTGAAAGATTCAAACAGTTGTAATTATTAATTAAACATCCTCTGTCCAGCGCTAACCCACGTTGCGACAGGCCCAACCATCCACCTAAATTATCCAAATTCAAAAGATTACACTAAGGTGAGACTAATCACGGTGAATCTGGTTGACCGCCCGTAACCGCGGGCACGGCTATTCGAATAGTTTTACTCTGATCAGAGCTGTACAACTGTACCCACAAGACACAGCCCCACGACACGTTTCCGTGCGCCCACATGCCACCACGACATATCAGAAAGAGGCCGTGACAGGACCCTTCGCATAACCCCCTCTAGCCAAGCACACCACACCTCAGGTTTCACCCCCGTCCCCAGCGGGCAACGGGCAGTCCCCTCTCGTGCCTAGGTGAATCCGGAAGCGACAGAGGCCGTCGCAGGGCCCGCCCCGCTCCATCACGCCCACCCTTGCCTGGATGCGTCGACTAGAGGAAAGCTACACTACAAGCCCAGCCGTTGCCCACGCTGGCTTGTGGTAAGTACGATAAGTTCTTCCAGGGCATCCCGCGAACTGGTAACCATAGGTAACCATCCCATAGTAATATTATAAAACAATGCAATATTTGAAAGAAAACAATAGAGCATTTGCAATATAGGATCAACATGTTCAAGTGACAAGCATGACTTGCCTTGCTCTGCTGCTGGAGAAACCTCGGCGACTATTTCGAAGTACACGGGAGCGTCGGAAGAAACGGAATCTAGCGACATACAAGGCAAACATTGCAAACAGGCTATAAGACTACTGAAACAGAGAACAAAACCATTTTTAATGGATTCTACACATTTTTCTTGATTTACTGAGACTTGAATGGGCTTAAACGGAGCTCGGATGAATTAGTTATGAATTTTAGAAGATTCACTGTGTTTATTACTATACAAGAAAAACCTTAAATCATTTATTGCGCAATAAATCCCAGGGCTGACGTCAGCACAGAGGGGGGTGCGGCGCCGGCAAGCGGGCCCCACCGGTCAGCGGCTCAGGAGGAGCGGTTCACCGTGGACCAGGACCACGCGGGTGGTCCACCGCCGGTCCACGGGACCGACGGCCCAGATCGCCCTCGGGCCGATCGGACGGGCGGCGGTGGAGGCAGCCGCCGGGCTCGGCTCGGCATCAAAGCCGACCGGCCGACCCGGGGCTGACGGCGGTGGCACGCGCGCGTCGCGTTGCCGGCGACGGCATCCGGCGGCGGAGACGGCGACGCAAAGGCGGCGCCGAAGGGCGGTGATGCTAAAGCGACGACTAACCGGCGGCGGCGCTAAAGCGGCGGCTAGGAGGGAGAGGGAGGGGAAAAGAGGGGAGGGGGGTGCCTCACCGAGGGTGGCCGGCGCGGAGGAAGACGATGGCGAACAGCGACGGCAAGCCACGGGAGGACGACGTCGGCGGGCGGACGAGCTTCGGGGTGCCCTAAGGAAGGAGAAGAGAGGGATTAGAGAGAGGAAGATGGACCACGGCAACCGGAAACCATGGCCGAAGGCGGCGGTGGAGGTGGTGCTCACCCGAGTGCGAGGGAACGAGGGCTCCGGCGACGAACCTCGACGGAGGAGGGGTGGACGGGGTGGATCTCGGCCACGCGAACCCGACGGCGGCGACGGCGCGGCCTGGCGGCGACCCTAACGGCGGCTAGCGGCGGCCGGAGTAGCGGAAAAGGCGGCGGCAAAGGGTTGCACGGCGCGGGAGCGATGGGAGGCTCGAGAGAGTACGGCGGAATGGGGAAAAAGTGAGAGGGGACGACGGCGATGCTTAAATAGGGGGAGAGGGGACCGGACGTGGCCGGGAGAGGCGGGAATCGCCGGCCGACGTGGGGGGTGGCGGAGGAGAGAGAGGCGGGATTCGAAAATCGAATCCCGGCCATCTCGGGCGCGGGCGCGAGCGGGAGAGAGAGAGGAGTGGGCGCGGGAGACGCGGCGCACGCGCGGGCGTGGTCGACGTGGCCCGGAGGAGGCGGAGACGTGGGTGCGGCGGCGGTTGCGGGCGCGGCGGCGCGAGCGAGATCGGCGGGAGGTGGGGGAAGGACCCGACAGGTGGGCCCCACCTGTCGGTGACCCCGGAGAGGAGGGCGGCGGGACGGCCTGGCTGGGCCTCGGCCTGCGGCCGGCCTAGCAAGGAGGAGGGGGAAGGAAAGGAGAGAATGGGCCGACGGCCCATTCGAAAAAAAGGAGGAAAAAGAGAGGAAAAAAGAAAAAGAAAAAGGAAAAAAAAGGATTTTCCCTGGAATTAAAATATTGCTTGCTCAATTTTAATTGGTTAAAATTATTTCTAGAGCTCTGAAAATTCCACTAAAAATCCTGTTAATGAATTTCGACATGTAGAACTCAAGAAAAATTCCACATGTCAAATCTGATTATTATTTGCATTACCTTCTTAGGGTTTTCTCTTGATTTGCACCTGCATTTTCTTAGGGTCATTTATAAATTAAATTTTAGGCTTGGGAGGAGAACTTTGGGGTGTGACAACCGCCAAGGCCAGGTCAAGCTCCCATGACTTGGAGGAAATTCAGAACCGACCATCCACGCAAGGCCGTGATGGTTGTTGAAGAAGTTCAAGCCCTCCGCAAGGAGTTCGACGCCCAGCAAGCAAGTAGCCATCAACAGCCCGTTCGCAAGAAGGTCAGAAAAGACCTTTACTGCGCCTTCCATGGACGCTGTTCGCACACCACCGATCAATGCCGAAACATTCGACAGCATGGCAACGCGCAAGATCCAAAACCGCAACAAGGAGTAGCTGTTGAAGCACCTCACGAAGCTGTTCAAGAGCAAGCACCCCCGGCCGAACAGCGCCAAGATGTGCAGCGCAGAGTAATCCAAGTGATTACAAAGGTTGACCCGCCGAATCAACTGTCAAAACAGCAAAAGAAGATGCAGCTGCGAATGGCGCACAACATCACTTCGGCAAGCGAAGAGGCCCCGTGATACTTGAATCAGTAGATTTCCTTCGGGCCAAAATATGCCGAAGGAGTGCTGTTCCCGCATCAAGACCCCCTGGTGATCTCGGCCGAGGTAGTTGGCTTCGAAGTCCGGCGAATCATAGTCGACGGAGGAAGTTCGACCGACGTCATCTTCGCCGAAGCATATGCCAGGATGGGGATGCCAACCCTAGCCCTCACCCAAGCACCGGCCTCGCTTCGCGGTTTTGACGGAGAAGCAGTTCAAGTCCTAGGCCAAGTACAATTGGTGGTAGCCTTCGGCACAAGTGAAAAGAGGCGCAAAGAGCAAATACTGTTTGACGTTGTCGACATCCCATACAACTATAATGCCATCTTCAGTCGCGCAACCTTGAACAAGTTCGAAGCCATCTCCCGCCACAATTATCTCAAGCTCAAGATGCCTGGCCCTGCAAGAGTGATCGTGGTCAATGGGCTTCAACCTTCGGCTACATCAAAGGGCGATTTGGCCGTAATCAACAGAGCAGTCCACAATGATGAGGCCGAACCGCATGACCGGGCGAAGCACACGCCGAAGCGCGCCCCTCATGGCAGGGTGATCAAGGTGCAGGTCGATGATGCCAATCCCACAAGACTTGTATCGCTGGGGGCGACATGGGCGAAAGAGAAGTTGAGAACATCCTGGAGGTGCTCAAGAAAAACATTGATATCTGCGCCTGGGGCCCCGACGAGGTGGTAGGTGTTTCGCCATATCTCATCATGCATCATCTGGCGGTCAGGCCGAATGCCAAGCCAAGGAAATAGAAGCTGCGCAAGATGTCTGCTAATCGCCAAGAAGCAGCGAAAGCCGAAGTGCAAAAGCTGCTCAAATCTGGGGTGATCCAGGAGATCGATCACCCCGAGTGGTTGGCGAATTCGATACTGGTGCGGAAATCAAACGGCAAAGGGCGCATGTGTGTCAATTTCACAGAACTTAACAAGGCGTGCCCAAAAGACCATTTCCCCCTACCGCGGATCGACTAGCTCGTGGATTCGACAACTAGCTGCGAACTCATGAGCTTTTTGGATGCGTACTCCGGCTACCACCAGATCCACATGAATCCAGCCGACATCTCTAAGACAGCCTTCATCACACCATTCGACACCTTTTGCTACCTCAGGATGCCTTTCGGCCTGAGGAACGCCGAGGCAACCTTCGCTAGGCTAGTGTACAAGGTCATTTACAAGCAGTTGGGGTGAAATGTGGAGGCTTATGTTGATGACATCGTTGCGAAAAGCCACAAGGCTTTCGACCATGCGTCCGACTTACAGGGGACCTTCGACAACTTACGCGCGGCGGGTATGAAACTAAATCCTGAGAAGTGTGTTTTTGGTGTTCGCATGGGCAATTTGTTGGGTTTTCTCGTTTCTGAAAGGGATATCGAGGCGAACCCCGAGAAAATTGATGCCATTCAGCAAATGAAGCCCCCGTCGAGCGTACGCGAAATACAAAAGCTCGCGGGCCGAATTGCGGCACTCAGTCGATTCCTCTCAAAAGCGGCCGAAAGAGGCTTGCGTTTCTTCAAGACTCTCCGGGGCGCGGAAAAGTTTACCTGGACACCCGAATGCCAAGCAGCGTTCGACGAGTTGAAGCAATATCTGCAGAGT